CGCGCGTTCCTGACCCTCAGCCGGGAGCAGCCGCCTTCCCCAGAGCTTCCCCGCGGCGGAGCGCAGCCTTGCAGGAGCCGAGCGCCGAACCCCGGCGGCGGAGAGCGAGCAGCGGCGGCGCCATGGCCAAGAGCACGGCGATCGGCATCGACCTGGGCACCACCTACTCGTGCGTGGGCGTGTTCCAGCACGGCAAGGTGGAGATCATCGCCAACGACCAGGGCAACCGCACGACCCCCAGCTACGTGGCCTTCACCGACACCGAGCGGCTGATCGGAGACGCCGCCAAGAACCAGGTGGCGCTGAACCCGCAGAACACCGTGTTCGACGCGAAGCGGCTGATCGGCCGCAAGTTCGGCGACGCGGTGGTGCAGGCGGACATGAAGCACTGGCCCTTCCAGGTGGTGAACGACGGCGACAAGCCCAAGGTGCAGGTGAGCTACAAGGGCGAGACGCGGGCCTTCTACCCCGAGGAGATCTCGTCCATGGTGCTGACGAAGATGAAGGAGGTCGCCGAGGCGTACCTGGGCCACCCGGTGACCAACGCGGTGATCACGGTGCCCGCCTACTTCAACGACTCGCAGCGGCAGGCCACCAAGGACGCGGGCGTGATCGCGGGTCTGAACGTGCTGCGGATCATCAACGAGCCCACGGCGGCCGCCATCGCCTACGGGCTGGACCGCTCGGGCAAGGGCGAGCGCAACGTGCTCATCTTCGACCTGGGGGGCGGCACGTTCGACGTGTCCATCCTGACGATCGACGACGGCATCTTCGAGGTGAAGGCCACGGCGGGGGACACCCACCTGGGCGGCGAGGACTTCGACAACCGGCTGGTGAGCCACTTCGTGGAGGAGTTCAAGAGGAAGCACAAGAAGGACATCAGCCAGAACAAGCGCGCGGTGCGGCGGCTGCGCACGGCCTGCGAGCGCGCCAAGAGGACCCTGTCGTCCAGCACCCAGGCCAACCTGGAGATCGACTCCCTGTTCGAGGGCATCGACTTCTACACGTCCATCACGCGGGCGCGGTTCGAGGAGCTGTGTGCAGACCTATTCAGAGGCACCCTGGAGCCCGTGGAGAAGTCCCTTCGGGACGCCAAGATGGACAAGGCTAAAATCCATGACATTGTCCTGGTGGGCGGCTCCACGCGCATCCCCAAGGTGCAGAAGCTGCTGCAGGACTTCTTCAACGGGCGCGACCTCAACAAGAGCATCAACCCGGACGAGGCGGTGGCCTACGGGGCGGCGGTGCAGGCGGCCATCCTGATGGGGGACAAGTCTGAGAACGTGCAGGACCTGCTGCTGCTGGACGTGGCGCCGCTGTCGCTGGGTCTGGAGACGGCGGGCGGCGTGATGACGGCGCTCATCAAGCGCAACTCCACCATCCCCACCAAGCAGACGCAGACCTTCACCACCTACTCGGACAACCAGCCCGGCGTGCTGATCCAGGTGTACGAGGGCGAGCGGGCCATGACGCGCGACAACAACCTGCTGGGCCGCTTCGAGCTCAGCGGCATCCCGCCGGCGCCCAGGGGCGTGCCCCAGATCGAGGTGACCTTCGACATCGATGCCAACGGCATCCTGAACGTCACGGCCACCGACAAGAGCACCGGCAAGGCCAACAAGATCACCATCACCAACGACAAGGGCCGGCTGAGCAAGGAGGAGATCGAGCGCATGGTGCAGGAGGCCGAGAGGTACAAGGCCGAGGACGAGGTGCAGCGCGAGAGGGTGGCGGCCAAGAACGCGCTCGAGTCCTACGCCTTCAACATGAAGAGCGCCGTGGAGGACGAGGGCCTCAAGGGCAAGATCAGCGAGGCCGACAGGAAGAAGGTGCTGGACGGGTGTCAGGAGGTCATCTCCTGGCTGGACGCCAACACGCTGGCCGACAAGGAGGAGTTCGTGCACAAGCGGCAGGAGCTGGAGAGGGTGTGCGGCCCCATCGTCAGCGGGCTCTACCAGGGTGCGGGTGCTCCCGGGGCGGGCGGCTTCGGGGCCCAGGCGCCCAAGGGAGGCTCCGGGTCGGGACCCACCATCGAGGAGGTGGATTAGAGCGAGAGGCCCTGCTTGCTCTCCCGGTGTCCCCTCGGACACAGACTGGTGGCACTTGAGGACTGCCTTTGCACTGGTTGCCGTCAGGGTTAGTTAGCCCTTCACCCCCAGTTCCTGCTAAAGTTACAGCCTTTTGTAAGGTAATTAAGTTGACTGTTAAATTTTCTATGTTTATATTCTTTATACTCACGTTAACATTGCCAGCTTATCTGTGTCAGTATTTTATTCTTAACAGAGCAAGGGGCCTTTGTTCTTGAACTAAAGATGTGTGCAATTTAAAGGATTCTTTAGGGTTGTGTTCCACTGGCCGGGAAGGACTTGGTCCTGCTGCTCAGGGACCCAAGAGAACCTCAGAGTCTGGTGCCTGTATCGAGCAGCTGGAGTTGTTAATGAGGTTCCTTGTCACTGCAGTCGTCTCTGAGACAGACTGGCTCTCAAACACTTCTTTGCACTGTGTATCACCTAGCTTTAGTCTCCTGTACTAAATCTGTAACACCTGCTTGTCCTCGTTACCTGTAGTTTTATGGTATGACCCATATGTTCCTTGCATTTAATCTAAAAGTTCTGTAGAGATGGCAATTTCTTGCCACCAGACAGATCAACACTGCCACCCTGTGGAGATTGTTTTCTTTGCAACACTACAAAGTTAGGAAAAAAAACTTTTATAACCTAAATATTCACAATAAACTGTTACAAGTATGTTTTGTCAGTGTGTATGTTGGGAGGGGTCGTGAGTCTGGGTTATGTGGGTTAGCTCCCCGGTTCTGTGGTGAGCACAATAGGTATTTGGGGAATTTTGTCAGGATTTAGGTGTGGGTTTTCTGTGTTTCAGGTGTTCGCTCTTATGGATAGGGCTCATTTTGGGGAGAAGTAGGAGTGGTGATGGAAATATTTGGGGGATCAGGAGTAACGGGCATCCTGGGGCTCTGACAGCTATGAACTCCTCCCCCCACCCCCACCCCCACCCCCAGGGGGCTGAATCTAGAGCAGTGTTTCTCAACCTGTGGGCCATGATCCCTTTTGGATCAAAGGACCCTTTCACAGGGGTCATCTAAGACCATCGGAAAACACAGATGTTAATATTATGATTCATAACGGCAAAATTACTGTTATGAAGCAGAAATAAAATATTTTTATGGCTGTGGGATTCACTATCTGTATTAAAGGTTCACAGAGTCAGACTGTTGAGAACCGCAGCTCTAGAGCATGGCGCACTAGACCAGGGCTTCATCACGGAACTACCGAGCCACTTTTCTAAGGCTTCCTTTATTTTTGAGACAGAATCTTGCTATGTAGTCCTGCCTGGCCTCAGACTCTGAGATCAGTCTTCCTTTTTCACACTTGGCTCTTTATAAGATCTTCACCAGAGTTGCCTGGGCTATTGGACTTCCCTGAAGCCCCTAGCTGAGACTGCACACTTTTCCACCCCACACCAAATCTGGCTATCTTTTTCTTTCGGGGGGGGCGGGGAAGGAGTGAGTGTGTGTATGTGTGTGTGTGTGTGAGAGAGAGAGAGAGAGAGAGAGAGAGAGAGTCTTGTAACCCTTGCTGTGCTGGAACTGACTGTTTCAGACCAGGCTGGCCTTGAACTGCTTCTGCCTTACAAATGCTAGGATTATAGGCACAAACTATCATACACACTCACTCTATCCCCACTCCTCTTTCCAGGCAGTAAGCCAGGTGAAATAACAGACCACTGACCTAACATGTCCAAGGCCTGAATGAGCAGGCAGAAAATATGGAAAATAAGTGCTGGCCTGAAAGCCTCTTGTTCCATGGATCTCCATGGTATTGGTGCAATGACATCCTCTGAGAGCTGGGGAATGTAGCTCAGTGACAGAATGACCACTTAGCATGCATGAGGCCCTAAAACTGTCCCCAGATCCACTGAGAATAAATCACTTATTTGGGCCTGGTGTCCACCACCTGTAATCCCAGCTTGTTCACACATAGCAAATGTAAGGCCATCCTGGGGTAAAGAAGTCATCAGTGATAGTTAATGACCCAAAATCATTCTTGAGGCCAGGGCAATTATGTTCATGAATTGCTCATTACAGAAGCAGTTTATTGCTAAGCCATACCAGACCATTAGTAGTCATTTCTGGCCTGAACATGTACACAGTCTGGAGTTGAAAGCAGTCTCTTCCCACATTGCTCCCAGGTGGTACCCGGGCTTCTAGGAACTAAGAAATTTATGAAACATACAGTTACTATGGGATTCTTAGATTTAAAAAAGTTTTTTAGCCGGGCATTGGTGGCACATGCCTTTAATCCCAGCAGTCAGGAGGCAGAGGCAGGTGGATCTCTGTGAGTTTGAGACCAGCCTGGTCTACAAGAGCTAGTTCCAGGACAGGCTCCAAAGCCACAGAGAAACCCTGTCTCGAAAACAAAACAAAACTTTTTTTTTTTTTTTTTTTTTTTTTGGCAAGATCTCTGTGTAGCCCTGAGTGGCCTCAAATTCACAGAAATCTACCAGCGTCTGTTTCCCAAATGCTGGGATCAGAGGCCTGTGCCACCACATCCAACCTTACAAGAGATTTTTGTTGTTGTTGTTTTGTTTTTCGAGACAGGGTTTCTCTGTGTAGCTTTGGAGCCTATCCTGGAACTAGCTCTTGTAGACTAGGCTGGCCTGGAACTCACAGAGACCCTCCTGCCTCTGCCTCTGAGTGCTAGGATGAAAGGTGTGCGCCACCAACGCCCGGTCACAATAGTAATTTCTAAATCTTTTAAAAAGGTGACAAAGGTGGCTGGGCGTGTAGTGGGTGAAGCCTGCAATTCTGCGCATGACTGGAACCCAGGATGGAGCCAGGAATACACAGTTGGGTGCTAGGGGTAGGAGTGTTTACCACCCAGTAAAGCTTTTTTTAAAAAATAAAAAGACCAGGACAGCCTCCAAAGCCACAGAGAAACCCTGTCTCAAAAAAACAAAAAATAAAATAAAATAAAAAGAATGCAGAGCAGACGCTGAGCTGCCAATTCGGGTTTTTGTGGCTGGTGGAGCTGTGAGTCCTCAGGGTAGAGTGGATCCCAGGACTCACGGACACTGCAGCCTCACCCTGCGGGCAGCAGAGCGCGCACGCACCCGGCCCGCTCTCCAGGGTCCTCATCCCGCCCTGGACGTCTAAGCCGCCTGTTTGCAGTTTCCTTTTGCTTGGTTGGAAATTCATCAGCAGGATTCACGAGGCACGCAAGACTCTCCACCCAGGAGAGTGAGCGACACAATTCCGCTTTGCTCCCCCGCATTCGCCAGCGCGAGCGGGTCAGGCACAGCCGCAGACGACTGTGCGCGTCAGGACCCCGGCCGGGCGCCGCTATAAAGCGCGCAGGCGGGCGGCCACGTGTCTCTTTGTGCGCGCTGGCGGCGATGCTCGCTCTGCTCTCTGTGGGGGGCGTGGCCCCCGCGCGCCGGCCTCGTGTAGCAGGTACCCCGGGGCCCCGTGGGGAGGGCGCGGCGGGGAGGGCCGGGCAGGATGACCGCATTACAGACTAGAGTTTCCGATGTCCCCGTGACGCCACTCTTGGAACTGACCCGGCCCGGGGGAGGAGGGGGCCCGGCCGGCCCGGGTCTGGCGCACGCCTGCTCACTGCTCGCCCTGTTCTCTCCCCAGGCTGCTCGTCCTCGCGCGCAGGCCCCGGCCGCACCATGGTAGGTGGCAGGAGCCCCGGGGCGGGATGTGGAGGGGCCGGCCTCGGGGGCGGCGGCGATGATGACCTCTGGTGATTCTGAGTGTCTCGCTGACGCCATCACCGCAGCGCGCTGACCGCCCGCCCCCGGGAGCGGGGTGTGCAGCACTGTGGGGTCTGCGCTTTGGTGGCCTGGAGTGCTGAGTGATTTCCTTGTGTGTCTTTGCTTCCCCTTAGGGGTTGGAGGACACCCACCGGCCGCTTGCTGCTGCAGAAAGGTTGGTACCTCACGGCGGCTTCATGGGCATTGACATTTGCTTTCATTTGTTGAGCTTTTTAAAATGCTGTGTGCTCGCTTGTCTGTAAGGGCGTCAGGTCCCTTGTAACTGGAATTACAGGCGGTTGCAAATTGCCATGTGGATCCTGAGAGTATAACCCCAGTGCTCTTAATCGCTGAGCCAGTTCTCAGTCCTCTTGCTGGATTCTCAGACTATAGTGTTCCCTGGCCTTTTGCTATATTCTTCCCTACTGCCTCTGGTTCGGGTCTCCCTCAATTGGGAGTGATGATTTCACAGACTAGAGTCTCTGACGCTGGTTCTGATGTCAACTATAAATCTGACTCACTTGAGGAGCCTGAATCTTTATTCTGGGTGTACTACCTACACTTCCTTGGCATGGAATCCGGTATTCCAGAAGCTGTGTATGTTCTGGCTTTACTGAGGTACGTCGCTGGTACCTGCTGCTGTCACTGATAATCCTGTTTTCATCTCTAGAGTGAGCTCTGAAAACCTAGATTGTGGCCTGACCTGAGGAACCCAGCCTAAGGTGGAATCTGCTCTTAGACGTGACCCAGGATGGTGTGACTGCCTGCCCAGTCATGCCAGTCTCTGGTGGAGAGCAAGCACTTTCTCCTTGCTGTGGTGGTGAGTGTTGCAGTTCACTTTCTATTGCTGTAATAAAACAGGCCCTGACTACTAAGGGCAACTTGGGTGGAGTGTAATGGGTTTGGCTTGTGGTCGGGAGGAATGCGGTTTGCTGCTTTCTCCATGGCTTACCTCACTTCTGTGTGATCTGTGACTACCAGGTACTTAAGAGTACTTAAGAGTTGTCTACAGGTATGCCTGTCTCGGTGCTGTCCATAGTGACGTTGTTAGGCTAGCCTGGGTTATTCTGAGGTCTAAGACGTGTCCCTTTTTGATTTTCAGGACTTAGTTTTTGCTGTGTCAACAGCTGTTGATGCTTGGTCACATCGTCTGGACATGGTGGCTGCTGACTCTACTCTCCTGTTTGAATTGTGCGATGAAATCTTGTCTCCCTGAAATACTGACATTGCCTTGGTTTTCTCTGAAAGATTATAATAAAAAAAATAATACTCTTAACCCTGAATTGATTGGTATCTGGGTAGTGGGGGGTGAAGAGAATTTTTGGAAGTAAAGGCTTTCAATAATTACAAAACAGTTTTAACCTGGCTGGTGTGTGCACCACGAAAGTGTCTGCCCTACTAGTCCACAGGCATCATAAGGAGTTAGGAGCTCAGGCCCTCTTGAGTTACTGTCTTGTTCTTGTGCAAGAGATTGGTATGGGTCACAGTCCAGACACAATTCAAAGTTGAGTGATTAGACAGTTGGGAGGGGGCGTTCAGGACAGGTTTGCATTGCTTTGGAGCCTGTCCTAGAATTTTGCAGACCAGGCTATCAACTGTGCCTTTGCTGGAGCACACACTTCCATCCCCTCCACCAATGCTGGATTAGAGGTGTGTGCCACCGCCTGTGAGTAGGCAGGCAATTTGTAAAGATAAGGCAAGCTTCGTACACCCGCTGGTTATTTGTGATGGCTGTTGGCAAGCATGACAGGTTGCATAAGGGCACAGTGTAGTTTGGTAGAAGTTAGCCCGAGGTCAGGTAGTGCATCTTGGAAGTACCCACTGCACAAGGGTGGCAGTGAGTGCTGAGCCATCTCCAGCCCGCCTCCCCGCCCCCAAGGCAGGTGCTAAATTCTCTGCATCAAATCCCTTCAACATTGGGGAGTTAAACCTCAGCATTTCTGTAAACATCCCAGGTAACTGGTGGATGGAC